TGCTGGACCGAGTGGGGCGGGCTGAAGTAACCGGGGCGAGATTTAACCCTTGGGTGGGGGGGGCAGAGGGCTGCAAAGCAGAAGGATCTATATCCTACTAAGGAGTCAGAAGTAACGGGGGCTTGGCTTCAAAGGGGGGGCTCTGAGGAACCGGGAGAGGAGACGGGGTGTGAGTTTCAGCAACAGGCAATTGCCCACCCACTGCTTCAGAGGAAACACTGCAAAACTGGGACCAAATTACACGCAGGACCGCCTATCCCCAATGGATCCTGCCTGTCCCACTAGAGTGGGTCATCATCCTTACTCTCTACTGACAGCTAGAGATCTCAGGGAATCCCCAGACCAGGAAGGGCTGGGCAGAAGACCCAGGGAGGGGCATCACCATGTCAACGTAGAGGGACAAGGTCAGTTGAGGTCCAAAAAAGCAGGAAGGAAGACTTTAAGCACACTCCAAAGTAAATCAGCCAATTCTCTCTCTCTTACGGAAACGCTGGGGGGGGGAGCGAAGAAAGAGGGGGAGTTCGTAGGTAAGCAGAACCAAGTTGAATCTCTCCCTTCCTAACAAAACCCTTTCAGGATGTTGCTAGCAGACATTTTTGTCTATCGAAATGCTCCTTCTCTGTGAAGGCCCGGCGAGCCCCTTCTGTCTTTCAGAAGCCAGAAAGGTCGGTCCTATTTTGACAGGTCTTCAATGCACAACAACGTTCCTCAATGCATTCCTCAATCCACAGAACAGCCTAACCCTGGTTCACCTAGACCCCTGAACAACAATGAAGCTTGGTTTTGATTTTAGGTGATGGGCAAACCCACCCATTATGGTTTAGCATTATGGGATACCCAGGCCACTGCATCTTGTTTAAGAAAAGATTTGAAAAATCACGCGGTTAAACTTTGGCCTGAACTAACTGGGCTGACTGCTATTTCCAGAAAAATGGCACAAAAGGGTCCATCCTATTCCCTGTGATGGAAACTTTGGAAGAAATCACCCCATAAACCTGGGATCCAGAATTCAGCAATAGAGCCAGCAAGGCTAATAACCACTGATAGCTCATCCTCTGAGTTTCATTGATTTATTTGTTAGATTTTATTTCCTGGCTTAAGGTGATCTATGTATCAGAAGCTCAAGGTGATCTATATATATAATGTTCCCTCCTCTCATTTTTCCCTATGACAACAACCCTTGAAATATGTTGGACTAAGAGGGAGGAAGTGACCCAGAGACTTTCTGTGGCTAAGAAGGGACTAGAACCTAGGTCTCCCCACTCCTAGTCCAGCATCTTCACCACTAGATCATGCTGGTTCTTGGGTTGAGAGAGAAGAAATGCCCCAGAATGCCCCCAGGGAGTTTCTGTTGCTATGGGTGGAGTAAACCCTGGGTCTCTGCTCTCATAGTCCAAAACCACCACCATTACATCACACTGCCATGCTGACAGTGGCTTTCTCCCCACCCCCAGGGTGTCCTACAAATGCAAAAAATACTTCTTCATGACTGAGTCAACCTCTTTCTGGGACTCCTGGATTTCTTGTGAACAACTATATACTTACCTTCTGTTTCTCAGGCTCTTGCAGTAACAAGAGGAAATCCTCAGCCAGAACCACAGCTTCTGCACAGGTTTCCGGACCCCACTCCCGGACCCAATTTTGCATGTCCCGGGGCAGGATAGTCAAGAACTGCTCCAGGATCAGCAGCTCCACAATCCACTCCTTGGTGTGCTTCTCTGGCCTCAGCCACTGGCAGCAAAGTTCTTGGAGCCGCTGGCAAATCTCTCGAGGCCCCTTGGCTGCCTGATAGGATAGCTGCCTGAAATGTTGGCGCCACTTCTCAAAGCTGGCTGTGTCTTCTTCATCCAGAACTTCCACCTTCACAGGCTGAGATGAACCCAGATATCTGCAGGCCTGATGGCTGTCTCCAAGGAGGTCAGGCAGGGCCTGAGGCAGCCCCTCTCCACTGGACCCCTTTAAGGAAACCTGGGCAGTCTCTGAATTTCCTCTTGAAGCAGGGTTGGACAACTGCAGGGGCCACCATTCTTCTTGGGGAGACTTGACCACCTTCAAGACCTTCTGCCACTGAGTTCCCCAGCACTGTTCTAACCCTTCATCTACTTCTTGTTTGATTTGTTCAGGAGCAACCCATGTCAAACGTTCTCGAACAGCCTTTGCTTGGACAACCCCCGGATTGTGTCCTCTGCCTTCTTGATTTCTTTCCAGTCTGGATCTCAAGGGGTTTTGCGTTTCCATTTTGAGTCCACCCTCCGCTTCTGGGATTAAGAGTAAAAAATCAATCACCTACTTAGCTAGCATTACTAGCTGTGACCCCTACAGTCCTTAGGGTGGGCATTCTTGATTGCAGGGATAGCCCACCCCCCACTCCCAAAGCAGTCCATGATTACTAAAATCCCAAAACTTCAGTGTTCAGGAAACTTTTCACGAAGAGCCTAAATTAAGCTCAGCATGAGCCCCAGCAGGAAACATTTCACAGTCCAGGGACTGAACTGAGAAGTCTTTCTCTTCTATAATTTACAGTTATTATATATTATGACAAATATACTACATAGAGTGAGAGAGATTATTTGGGCCAATATGAGTCAAATCCTCATTCTTAGAAGTTATAGTAGATTCAGTTGCATTTGCCGTTTCTTGTTGATTGAAGGGAACCAGCAAGAAAGAAGATTTATGGTAAAGATTTATGGCATTACAGGTGAAAACGGGGTGGTAGTGATATCACCATGAAGGAAGAAAAAAACAAGGCAAGTTAAGGAAAATTTTTAAAAGATTACTTTGGAAATGACCACCAAAGGAGAGAAGTGACTGAGAAATAGCAAACCAGTGTTTCTCAACC